ATTAAAGCTTGGAGACCTAACTTTTTGTCCCGGTGAATAACACACGTTGTTTTGTCCCGACAGAAAGCGTTTTGTAAAAGCCACATTTTGTGAAGGAATCAGACCATTATGTTGTTTTTTTTAAATGGTATCAAACATTTTCACAGCTGTCAGAAAGATCCCTGTGAGTCTCTTTTTGACTCTTTGGGCTGAGAGCTGATTGGCCGAGTGAGGGCGGTGCTCTTTCTCACTTTTCTGTCAAAGAATGATGATGTAAAGATGTGACAGAGGCCCTAAAATAAGCAACTGGTGAAATGTGAAAACAGCAGCTCCATTCTTCATCTGTTTTTCTTTTAAAGTTGGGTACCCTGGCTTTAAAAATACACTGTTTTTTGTTGTTGTCTTGGGTCCATCTCAATGTCCTTTGACTTGGAATGTTCCAGAGTATTAACCCACATTGGCAACAACACAAGTGGAATCTGCGGAGAGCCGAGCAGAGCCAATGTAAGAGTTCAGGTGCTGCAGTGAAAACATTTGTGTTGAGATACTGTACAAGTTTTATATCATGCTAAGGTACATTTCAAGCAAAGCAATAACATCTCAATGGCAGCGAGCCACATGATTACCTGCGCCTCTTTAAATATAGCCACAAACATCAACGCGGGGAAGACCAAGGAGATGGTGGTGGATTTCCGTAGACGTCACTCTGCCGCTCCAGCCCCAGTGAACATCCAGGGAAAGGACATCGAGAGAGTGGACTCTTACAAGTACCTGGGTGTTCATCTGAACCACAAACTGGACTGGACTCATAACACAGACGCCCTCTTCAAGAAGGGCCAGAGCCGCCTCTACCTACTGAGGAGGCTTAGGTCTTTTGGAGTGCAGGGGCCACTCCTGAAGACCTTCTATGACTCTGTGGTGGCATCAGCCATCTTGTACGGTGTGGTCTGCTGGAACAGCAGCATCACAGAGAGGGACAGGAAGAAGCTGGACAAGGTCATCAGGAAGTCCAGCTCAGTCCTGGGCTGTTCCTTGGACACAGTGCAGCAGGTGGGGGACAGGAGGGTCCTGAGCAAACTAACATCTATGCTGGACCATGACTGTCGCCCCCTGCAGGACACTCTCTCTGCTCTGGAGAGCAGCTTCAGTGACAGACTAATTCACCCTCGATGTGTGAAGGAGAGGTTTCGCAGGTCTTTCCTTCCTGCTGCTGTCAGACTGTACAACGAGAATGTGTAACAGGAACTACTGAGTCTGCACAAGTGTTTCTGATAATTCACTAGTAACTTTGTCACTAGTCACTTTACCTGTTATCAGTACTACTACAGTACTACATATCTGATATTTACTGTTATCAGTACTACTGTATTATTTCATATCTGATAATTCTGCCTTCCACCGTCACTTTACCTGTTGATATTATTTCTGATGTTTATTCTGCTCATATTCTCATATTCTCCGCTGCTAATGTATAATATAGACATCTATAAATACTCCGAACCAAGTGAAATTGTAGCCCAGATTTTCTTATTTTATTTTATTTTATCTTAAACTTATTATCTATTATCTTAAATAATAGACTTTGATGTGTGCAATCTGAGTGCTCTTATTTCCTTTCTCTGCTGTAATGTGCAACGATGACACTGAAATTTCTCCACTGTGAGACTAATAAAGGTTTATCTTATCTTAAACGTTTATTCATGAAGCTATATTTTGTCTTTTTGAGCATGGAAAAACCAATGCTCTGTGTAATGTCATGTTGGATAGTCGGATAGATGCTTATTTCCTCTGAGATGTTATTCCTTTGACTGTAATACCCAAACTAAATATAATTATCTTTCACTTCATACAGTTTGTGTTGCTTTTATTAATCCCGTTTCTCCATAAAAATATGTAAACCACCCCCAGTGAGAACTCCCAACTGGCTGATTCTGCCCTATTCACATCATCTGGTCTGTTCTTACAAAATGATAGTTATTTATACAATTTGATTCATTTTTGTTCATACCTGACACATGTGACTGCAGTCTTCCTCAGTTTTTGCCGCTGTCTTTCTACCACCAGAGGCAGGACGACAGCGCCATCTGCTGTACGACTTCTTCAGGACAGAATCCCAGCTGTGTGAGAGTAAAGAAGCCCCCTCGTCCCGGTTTATAGTCCTGAGGGCGCGTTCCCGTATTTCTATTGCCTCTTTGATCCAGCGTCGTGTTTGTTGTCCTCAGCCACTATGATACTTGCTCCGTCCCGATCCATAATGTGGTTCTCTCTTTTACACTGGTCGGAGATGGCAGATCTGAGTGTCTCTTGTTCTTGCTGTGTGTGTTGTGTTGCTTGTGTGTACGCTTTAGCACACAAGCAACACAACACTGGGAGGAAGACTGTGCACCAGCAAAAGTGTCAGGAATGAAAAAAAACACTCTGGTCTTAAACAAAGAACCAACTTGTAGAATCTATCAGAGGAGCAACTGAACCTCATTGGACTGATAGCTACTTGATTAGCTTCAAATTAGCTTTGTATTTTCTCTGCAGTCACAGGTCCGTTAAGATGTTGCTTTCTCCATGAATGTTTGATATAATCTTACAATAACAGAAAACAGACAAATCACTGGGTTCTCTCCATAAAGATGATTGTGGTCATTTTTACATTTCTTCTGTAGAATTGTGTTAATGACGTCAATACCTGCTTCTTTATTCATCATGAGATTAAAATGGGTTCTGTCTAAATCTTGAGTCAAACTTTGAATCAAGGAAAATAATTCTGTTCAAATGTGAATTATACAAACCAATACATGTTGACGTCGCACATCATATGCTTTAGGCCCAGATTATGTACAAAATAATAGGAAATGTACCAATAAACATCTGCTGTGCCTCTTTTCCTTCCCTTTTGTCCTACATTTCCCAGAATGCCGTTCAGTTTAGAGCAGATTTTTCTTCCAGTCTTTCAGCAGCTGCTTGTTTTTGGACCATCTCCTCACTGTTTGTGTCTCTGTAAAGATGGAAAAGGTTTTTAAAAAGACAAAAACATTCTGAAAGTTGCGGTTTAGTTGAGTTTGGGCTTAAGACTTATTTCAGTGTCATCAGTTGTTGCCATGGTGACACACTTGGTGAAAACCTTTGAAGACTTTTGTTCAATAAAACAAAACTGAAAACTTTGATGAAGAACTCATTTTTTTTCAGCAGCGTTGAAGCTTATGAGGTCTGCGGCTCAGCAGTTTTTACTATGGTTACCACGGTTACTCATTACATAACTATGGTTATGTTTTATCAGTGTTTGTTAGTTTGCAAGAAGAACTCAAATTCATGAAATCGTCAGTAAATCTTGAAAAGGACACATTTGTCTGGATCCAGGATTTTTGTAATTTTATTTCTTTCATCTCTCAACCTCCAGAACGTGCCTCACAAACTCCCCTGAGTGTCCCGGCGTTGACGTACACGTGTGTGTGTGTGTGTGTGTGTGTGTGTGTGTGTGTGTGTGTGTGTGTGTGTGTGTGTGTGTGTGTGTGTGTGTGTGTGTGTGTGTGTGTGTGTGTGTGTGTGTGTGTGTGTGTGTGTGTGTGTGTGTGTGTGTGTGTGTGTGTGTGTGTGTGTGTGTGTGTGTTGGCGTCTAGGACGCGTGTCTCTCACCATCCAAATAGAGCAAAATACTGTGTTCTACAATCCTTTATTGTTGCCAAGTACACAAATATAAAGCTGTGGTAACAAACAACGGTCGAAAGATGTTTGCCTCCACACTACAACACCTGTCTTTCATTAGTGCCCCACTTATATAGGGCATACTATCGAGGTGGCGCCACACAGTGGCAGGAGGCAGCAAAGGAAAACATAGGAAACTGGCTCCAACACACCGGCCCCTTAATTGTGAGAGCCAGGAGCTAAACAATTACAAATTCAAATAAACATGGAGCCATACTTTGACTTAGCAAGTTTGTCACATTGAGAACACATTTTTCAAAAAACACAAAATTTCAATGTCCACATATTCAAAGTCATTGTTCAATACACAGAAAATACATTTGGCATTTAATATCCATCCTGTTAAGTTTCATTATTCAAAACTATTTCCAGCGCTTTCTTTTGAAAGCTTTGCGCAACTTTAGCTTAAACATTTTGCTGGCTGAAAGCACATACAGAATCCAAAGACAGTTCACGAGAACAACAAAATCAAAATGAGTGTTTCTTACAAAAGCATTGTTGTGCTTGCTTTTACTACGCCACTGTGGCAGTGGAAAAATCCTGGTGTGGCCTGGTGTGACCATGTCTGGGCCACTGCAGGCCAGCTTCTGCTGCAGCAGGCCTCCCACTACAGGCTGCAAGGCAGTCAATAAGACAGGAACAGCAGAACTTTCCTGCTCTTCATCCTCTGTACTGTCCATCTTTTTCCATGAGCATGTCTCAGTGTCCAAATCCAATGTCACCGTTCGCTCATGGTCCATAAGGGAAATCTCAAAGTCCTCCTGACGCTCCTGACGTACTGGTGAAGATGAACAGTTCACATCAGCCATTTGTGTGGCACTACCGGCCCCAGTTGGCTCAAGTGAACCCACCAAAGTGGGTACATAAACTGGTGGCTCCCAGTTAAATCCATCCCAGTCATCATCAGTCCTAGTTTCTTTTATAACTGCAGGGACAGTTGTGGTTGGGACTTGTGTTTGCACCCTAGGCTCTATTGGAAGAGATTTATTTTTATGCCGATGCTTCTTTGAGGCATTCAACACTGCAAGTTTAGCTGTCACTTCAGCCATTTTAGTTTCAAATTCCAGCTCTTCCAATTGTCTCTTAATGGCTAGTTGCGTTGCTTCCAGTTCATATTTCTCTTCCAAAAATGACATTTTAACTAGAAGCACAGCTTGCTTAGCTTTCATTTTAACCAAAGCTGCAGCAGCTGAAGCTCTCTCTTTTTTGTCCGTTTTGTTCAAATCCCTGGTGCACCTTTTTACAGTGTCCACCTCACAGTCCATGTACCGCTCCTAAACGTGTAGTCTGTGCGGCCCTATGTCGCACACAGAAATCAGAACTGCTCACCACGCGTAGCCTTCTCCAAACGCGGTGCCGAGCTCCTCCGCGGGCCACTCCGCTGCAGGACAGTTTGCGCGCCGAGTCTTCCCTCGCCCGCGCTGGTGGTGGGGGACGCCGGTGCTCTCTCCGGTGTTTTTGCCCTTTCCTCCTTCCCGCCGACAGTCCGCCGGTTCGCCGCGCCCCTGTGGCAACGAGCCGTCACGGTAGTCGTGGGTCCACTCCTCTCCAGGAAACCGCGCTGTGCCAATCACAGCTGACGCAATCTTCACGCCCAGACGGTGAGAAGGGTCTGTCTGCGGCTGTATCCGAATGTCCACACTATACCCTATTCACTCACTCACTATATAGTTCGGGACTATATAGCGACTGAGTGAGTGAGTCAGTGCACTCATTCTGTTGGCGATTCGGACACATGCACACTATTTTTAGCCGTGGCCCGCGTCACACCCCTGTCACATGTCATTGGATCAATATACTTTTAAATATATTTATATATAAATATAAGTATATTAAAATATCAATCTTTGTCTAATATACATGTATAAAATGTTTTTACAATATATTTATATACTGTATGAATTTTTGTTGACTGATTTGGTTAACGTCCCTCATATTCCCACCACCTGACCGGCTCTTCTAACACCGGTGAGATGGCACCTCCACTGAATTTTTAAGTTTATCCTTACAATTATTCAACTTCTCAATGAGAATTAAAACCTGCCGAACAGAAAGACGACGAAGACAGGCGATGAGGAGGAGGAGAATGGCTCGTCTTTCATTAGCAAGGCTCAACTCGAGTAAGTATTGTACCTTTATCTATAGCATTAGCACCATCTACTGGGTAAATTAAAGTACTTTAGGTGTACTTTCTAATAAAAAATACTATTCTCAATCAATAGGAAACACATTAGACATATACATTTAAACATATTTAAACAAGAAAACACATTGTATATACACACTCACTTAAAATTCAAGAACATTTAAACACTTTATTGGTTGAAAGAACAGAAAAACATAGCAAGGGAAATGGAATAAGTCAATTTTTTTCTAAATGAAATCAAGAGTATTTAATCATGAAACAGTAATAGCATTTAGAACAACTGGGACATGTTGATGGTTTTGTATGAATCTGGCCATGGCCATACATTTTTTGTATTGCAGCAGCAGCAGCGGAGGGGCAGATAGGTGTGAGCGATGTAGGCTGAGGCTTTCTCCTTCAGCTGTCTCTGACACAGATGGCAGCTCCAGCTCCCTGCAACACAGAATGCATTTGGCAAAATCAATGCCTGGGCTCAAAAGAACATGACTTCTGCTATATACTCTTCATTTTTATTTACATTAATCTCAAAATGAAGTTTTTTTTATTTATTCCTGTATCTGCATGTATTCCTTTCACCCGCAGTCGGATGAGTCTCTCCACATCAGTGTCTGTCCCTTTAAAAAACATTAAACACACAATAAATGCTATACATATAACACAAGTGCTTTAATAACATTAATGACTGACCACCAGTGACCCGTTTCTGTAGCGTTCGCTTTAGATGTTAATGTTATGATATGCGAAAATGCTAACACTTTCGCGGCATAACATTGGTACGTTGTTTCGCAGTAAAAGGCAATGGTATTCTGACTTCAAATGTGTATTTTGGCAGCTTATCGTCAACAATATATCACGGTTTACACATTTCCATATTTATGATGATCAAAAACTCACATTTATAGCTCATGTCCCGCTCCGCTTCCAGCTCGTCTCTCTGTGCCTCCGCCATTTTACTTCCGTATAGTGACCACTGCTGTTCACTACATTTTCGAGATGCATTGTGGGAAAATTCCAGTGCACTACTTTTTCTCTCTGGACATTCGGACACCCCTACAAAATGGCGCGACCACTATATAGTGCACTATATAGGGTATAGTGTGGACATTCGGATACAGCCGCAGGCTTGCAGTACGGAGGCGTGTCGCGTAGTGACGTCACTACACGACACGCCTACTACACGAATTTTAAACCCGTTGAAAACTCGAAGAGAAGACATGTGCGGGGGACGGCTTTCTCGCGAGATTTGCAGGAGGACGGTCGTAGACTCAGCCTGTGGGTCGGAAGAGGACGAGAGAGCGGACGCAAGTTTGAATCTAAGATAAATAATAAAAGAGAACATCGATACTGGCAGTTTGGCATAATCTGGTTTGTGACTGGGCCGGGATGGACTCCCAGGCAGAGGAGGAGGATGATTTGATGAACTTTGATGACTTTCCATCATTACGTAGGGATGGGGATAGGGGGGGTAGGAGCAGTCAGAGAAGTAAGCGTGGTTTAGATGATTCTAGTCCAGATGAAGGAAGGTCAGTGATGCGTAAGAGAGTAGTTCGAGAACCAAACAAACCTAAGGTTATACTTAAGTTCGGGAGTGAAAGTGAGGCTTTAAAGGTCGGGATTTTGGCGCTGTCCAGGGAGATGAAAAAGAAGTTGGGAGAAGTGGAGTTAGCAAAGATTTTGAGAGATGGGTGTTTATTAATTGTGTGCAAGTCTGAAGCGCAAAAGGATGAGGTGATGCAGTTAGGAAGTATAGGTAAGATGGTGGTTAGGGAGCGCAAGATAGTCGGGGAAAGGAGGGGGGCGCGGGGGGTGATAACCGGTGTCCCTCTCGACGAGGATCTTGAGAAACTAAAAAATAGCTTTGGAGCAGGGGTGAAAGCAGTTACAAGGCTGATGCGAAGGAGTGAGGGCCAAAGGGTCCAAAGTCTGTCTGTTTTAGTGGAGTTTTGTGATGAGGTGCTTCCTGAAAAGATCAGAGTGGGGTGTTTGAGTTTCCCGGTAAGAGAGTTTGTTCCTCCCCCGCTCCGGTGCTATAAGTGCCAACACTATGGGCACATAGCAGCGGTGTGTAGAGGGAAACAACGCTGTTCTAGGTGTGGAGGGGAGCATAGGATCGAAGAATGTAAAGAAAAAGACAAAATAAAGTGCTGTAACTGTGGGGGACAACACACCACTTCATATGGGGGATGTGAAGTCAGGAAAAGGGCTGTAGAAATTGAGAAAGTCAAAGTTGCAGATAACACCACGTATGCTGAGGCAGCGAAGAAGGTTCCAGTTCAAACACGGGGGAATGGAGGTTCCGCAGAGGTAGGGCTGAGAAGAGAGGTGAGTGTAGGCCCGGATATGGGAGACTGGCTTGTGTTTTTGGCCTATGTGGTTAACTGCGTTGATCAAACTAAACATAGAGCAGAAAAAGTAAAGATTGTCGTGAAGGGTGCCGAAAAGTTCTTGGGGGTGAAGGGAATACCATGGGAGCAGGTGTACAAGAGACTGGAAGTGGGTAGTAAGGGAGGAGGAGGAGGCATTGCTGAGAAGCAATGAATCTAATACAGTGGAACGCTCGGAGTTTAATTGCAAATGGTCAGGAGTTTAAGGCGTATGTGCAAAATAGTCAAGTAAAACCGGATATTATCTGTGTGCAAGAGACATGGCTTAAGGATTCACTGGATTTTGTTATTAGGGGGTATGAATGTGTAAGAAGGGATCGGGATGGAGGAAATGGTGGTGGGTGTGCAATATTTGTTAGAAGCGGGATTCAGTATAGGGTTGTAAGTAAGGGAGAAACACTTGAGTGTATAGTTATAGAAGTATGGGGGAGAGGAGGTAAGATTATAGTTGTAAATTTCTATAATCCATGCAAAAGGTTATCACTGGAGGGTCTGCAGGAGATTATGATGCACATGGAAGGGAAGGTGGTGTGTTGTGGTGATTTTAACGCACATAGTACATTGTGGAGTGGGGTTAATGATGCGAATGGACTGGTGGTTGAAGAATTATTGGATATAAAGAGCCTTGTATGTCTGAATGATGGGAGTGGAACTAGATTTGATTCGAGGACTGGGAAGGAGTCCTCGTTAGACTTAACACTGGTGTCTGAGAGTATTGCTGGGAACTGCACATGGAAGGTGGATAAGGAAACTACGGTAGGAAGTGACCATTTTCCACTAGTCATTCAGATAGGGTTTAGTTTTGAAGAAGCTGCTGTTGGAGGGGTAGGTAAATGGTGTTTTGACAAGGTGGACTGGGGTAAGTTCAAAACCATTTGTGAAGAAGAAACTGAGAAGATAAATGTTAATGGTCATATTACTGTGGATGAGTTTAATAGTAGCTTGTGTAATGCAATAGTTCATGCAGCAAAACAGACAGTTAGAAAGAAGGAGGGGAGGAGGAAAAGGAAGATCGTCCCCTGGTGGTCAGAAGAGTGCACTGTAGCCATACGTGAGAGAAATAAAGCCTTCAAGGCTTTGGCAAATAATGTAAACTGGGAGAATTATCTGGACTATAAGAGGAAGTTGGCAGTTGGCAGGAGAGTGATCAGGGCAGCTAAGAAGAACTATTGGAGGGGTTACTGTGACACGCTGGACAGACAGACTTCTATGAGCCAGGTTTGGGGAACAATTAGAAAGATGGCAGGTAGGGGTAGGGTGTTTAGCTACCCTGTGATGAAAAGTGGGGAGCGTATCGTGATGGAGGATAAGGGTAAAGCTGAAGAATTGGCTAAATATTTTGCAAGGGTCCATAGCTCAGAAAATTTAAGCATAGAGGAAAGGAGAGAAAGAGAGCGGACAGTATTAAAACACGCAGGTGGCTTAGAGCATGCACAGAGTTATAATGATGTGATCAATGTGGAGTTTTCAATGTTTGAACTAAATGGTGCGTTAAATAAATGTGGGAAGACGTCCCCAGGGGGGGACGATATTAGCTACTGTATGTTAAAGAATCTTAGTAAATCGTAGTAAGGAAAAGCTGTTAAAATTGTATAATAAAGTCTGGGCAGAGAGTGTGTTGCCAGAGCAGTGGAAAGAAGCGGTAGTGGTGCCAATTTGTAAGCCAGGTAAGGACCCCAGTGCGGTCGAGAGTTATAGGCCTATAGCCTTGACCTCACATGTTTGCAAATTAATGGAGAAAATGGTCAATGAGAGATTAGTATACTTTGTGGAAAAAAATAGGTTGCTTAAAGACCATCAGTATGGGTTTAGAAAGGGCAGGAGCACAATAGATCCAGCAGTTTTATTGGAGCATGACATAAGAAAGGCCCAGGCTAACAAGGAGAGTGTGGTGGCAGTGTTTTTTGATGTGGAAAAAGCCTACGATATGATGTGGCGGGAAGGGCTTATAATAAGGTTGCGTCAGATGGGAATAAGAGGGGAAATGCTTGGATGGGTCAGACAGTTTCTAACAGGGAGAAAGATTTTGGTACGAGTAGGATCTGAGATAAGCGCAAGGTATGAGGTAGACAATGGGACGCCACAAGGGAGTATTGTGAGTCCAGTGTTCTTCTCCATAATGATAAATGAGATTTTTTGTAATGTTGAAGGGTCTGTTGGAGTGTCACTGTTCGCGGATGATGGAGTAGTATGGAAGCGAGGAAGGAATGTAAAATATATAGTGGGGAAGATTCAAGAAGCGATACAGAAAGTTGAATCGTGGTCTGTAAAGTGGGGATTTAGGTTCTCTGTTGCAAAAACAAAAGTAATGAGTTTTACGAGAAAGAAAAAGGCTGTTGTTAATATTAATCTGTATGGGGAGAGATTGGAGGTAGTGAATGAGTTTAAATATTTAGGATTATGGTTTGACAGTAGAGTGACATGGAAGGGGCATATTCAAAAGATTGTAGAGAAAAGCAAAAAAGTTTTAAATATAATGAGATGTTTGAGAGGTCGGGATTGGGGAGCAAGCCGGGCCTGCCTTAAGAAGGTCTATGTTGCGCTTGTTAGGTCAGTGATTGACTATGGATGTGTGGTGTTTACTTCTGCGTCAAAAAGTAATCTAAAGAAGTTAGATGTGGTTCAGAGCCAAGCCTTAAGGATATGCAGTGGTGCAATGACGTCAACTCCAGTGGCAGCCTTGCAGGTTGAGATGGCAGAGATGCCATTGGAACTACGAAGAAGGCAACTAATGCTCAATTACTGGGCTAACCTCAGAGGGTACAGCAGAGGTCATCCAGGGTTGGAGGTGTTAAGACCCTGTCAAGAGAAAGTCAAACTACAAGTGAATAGCTTTGGATGGGTCTGTGAGAGTGAAGCGAGGGAAGCACAGATATTTCAATTAGACGTGAGTCCAACAGTGCCACTTTCAGTTATCCCTCCTTGGAATATGAAAGAGGTAAGCATTGATCTGGGTCTTTTAGGTAGAGGAAAGTGTGGAAGTAAGGGAGTAGAGAAATATCTAGGGAAATATGGGGAGCAAGTAATGGTTTTTACGGATGCGTCAAAGTTAGAGGATGGGAGGATAGGAGTTTCTTTTGTCATCCCAGGACTAGGTGTAGTAGGAAAGAAGAGAATAAGTGACAATTTAGCAGTATATACAGGTGAGCTTATAGCAATTCTATTAGCATTGGAATGGGTGGAAGAAAGTGGACCAGAGAGAAGTGTAGTAGCATCAGATTCAAGTAGTGCAGTAGTAAGTATTAAAAACATGAATTCGAGATCCAGACCAGATATAGTAGTAGAGATAGGACACACTTTAGAGAGAATATATAGGAAGGGTAAAGTGGTGACATTAGTATGGGTCCCAGCTCACATAGGGGTGGAGGGAAATGAGTTGGCAGATATGTTTGCAAAAGGAGGGGCAAAAAAAGGGGAGGTTGACTTTCCAATTAGGTATAGTAAAGCAGAAATCAAAAGCATAATAAAAGTAAAAGTGAGAGAGCAGTGGCAAGAAAGGTGGCAAGAGGGGTTAAAAGGAAGATTTTTGTATGAAATACAAAAGGAAGCAGAGCTCAAGATGAAG